ATTTAGTAGTTTCCGTGGTAGTAGTAGTCGTCTCAGTACTAGTAGTAGTAGTCGTAGTACTGGTAGTATTAGTAGTAGTAGTAGTAGTAGTAGTAGTAGTAGTAGTAGTGGTGGTAGTAGTAGTAGTAGAGTAGTCGTAGTAGTCTTAGTAGTAGTAGTAGTAGTAGTAGTAGTAGTAGTAGTAGTAGTAGTAGTAGTAGTAGTAGTAGTAGTAGTAGTAGTAGTAGTAGTAGTAGTAGTAGTAGTAGTAGTAGTAGTAGTAGTAGTAGTAGTAGTAGTAGTAGTAGTAGTAGTAGTAGTTGTAGTAGTAGTAGTAGTAGTAGTAGTAGTCGACGTCGTCGTCATTGTCGTCGTCGTAGTAGTAGTAGTAGTAGTAGTAGTAGTCGTCGTAGTCGTAGTAGTAGTAGTGGGGTCGCACAGCTCATTCGTGCATCGTCAAACATCACCTTCGTATACTCGTCCAGTAGACTGCCTGTGTAGCGGGTATTTCAGGGAACCAAGCAAACAGGGACGCTTCACACGACACCCTCTTGTCCATCAGATTTCGATTGAAGTCCGATTCAGCTTCTATTGTGTTCCCATTGTATTCGTATTGTATTGTATTCTTAGTCTGCTCCTATTGTATTTGTATTGTGCTCGTATGGTATTCCTATTGTATTCCTGTTGCCGTCCTACTGTGCTGCTTTGGGACACGCTGTGTGTGTGTGTGTGTGGTAAATCGGCGGTCTTTTGATTTAGCGTATCTTAAATCGAATGCATGCGGGGGGGGGGCTCGCTCCCATCGGCGTCTGCTGGGGCTAAGGGATATGTGGCTCATTCTCCTAGTGTTCCTCCGTACCCCCCCTCCACTTTCTACTGTCCAGTTGCGCTGCAGCGCGATTTCGCCATTGCGCTCGGGCGGGCGCTGAAGGTGGGAAGGCTTGGGGGAGAGATGGGGGATGGGGCCACGGAACCCTCCTTCCAAAGGCTTTGTATTTGGGGCCGTTTTCTGCCTACAAGGCCAAACGCGCAGGGACTTGGTCATAAAAATGAGCACATCTTTGGCTCGATGCGTCGGGGGGCTCTCATGATTGCCTGCAGAGAAGCGAAGGGGCCCGACGCACACCGGTTGCTGCAAGCGCGGTGGTAGACTGTTCCTCGTCCTCGTGTTCCTCCTGACCCTCTCCCTACTCTCCCTGCTACTCCTCATCCCGGAGCTCTCGACTCGGTCCTTTCCGTCGGCTGTTTTTCGTCTGGGTCGTTTCTGTCACCGTCCTGCTGCCGAAAACGGCGCCCAGACGCCGACATCGATGAATCAATCCAATTAGTTTTTTGTTGTCGCGACGTCTAGAGATTCCTGAATCTTTTAACTTTTTCTCCGAGGCCGACTTGTCATCCCGAGTCGTTTCCTCACGGCTTCCCACACCCAAAGGTGAGTCAAACAACATATGTTTTTTTGTTCAGGTAGTCTCCAGATGTCCAGGCCAGCCGCACGAATTGACTCCAGGACCTGTCTAGTGGTGCATTCTGGGCAGAACTTCTGGGAGAATCCAGCCGTTGTCGAAGTGCCTCCCAGAGACCCCCGAGACACCAGTAGGCCACACAAACACATCAAGTACTTCGGTTTCCGACATTAGAACCTATCTGCAAGCCTGTACACCCATTCGCAAACCTTGCTTTTTCGGGTTTGGGGTTCTGACGTACTCCATTGTGCTGTGTTTTGTTGTCTCAGCACTTCACGTTTTGACGGGCCGCCATTGTCCGAATTGTAGGGTCGCGAGTCTTGATTGTGAGCAAGTTCCGCATTTCACCCTGCCGTGCCTAGCGTTCCGCCAGCTCGTTGCATGCGCTCACGCTCGTGTGACGGTTCGTTGCCAGGCTGTTGCTCGTCTCCTCAGCTTTCCTCCCCCTCCATCCCAGTCTAGGGCGCTGGAAGCAAACACCCTGGACTCGGCACCGCTCGGACGCGTGCATTTTTTCGCGGCGAGGCCAGCGCCAGAAAATCTGGGCCATCGAGGAGCATCCTGGATCACCCTGCGGAGAACGGCACACTGCACCGAGACATGCACCGGGGAACGGATGCCGGAGCGATGGCGCGTCCATCCTTCCCCGAGGCGATGCCGGGCAGCGGCGCTGGCTCGGCGGCGCGGGGCAGCCAGAGCTGCGCCCAGCTCAGCAGCACCATGGCCGTGCTGAGCCTCGCGGAGGCCCAGGCGCTGGCGCAGCGGGCGGGGCAGATGGCGCTGGACCCCGCGGTGCAGGCCGCGGCGCGGGCAGCCCGCCGCTCGGGGGACGGGGCAGGCGAACGCCGCTCGCGGAGGTCCTCCGGGGGCCCTCGCGGAGGCCTCCAGGGAGCTGTGTGGAGCTCCCGAGATGGACCCCGCAGTTCAGGTCATTGCGGGGGCAGCCGACACTGGGGGGCGAAGGCCGCTCAAGCGGAGGAGGACGAGGAGAGCGATGGGGGAGTGGAAGGATGAGGGGAGGAAGGGGGATCATATGGGTTTTTTCGGGGCCTATCCGACATGTAGTGATGTTGCCACTGATGGAAGGTCTGGGCCGTGCTGAGGATGTGAGAGTCCGATTGAGCGCTGTATGCGATCGGGCCACGGTGCAGTCGTGGGGGCAGCGAGGTGGGGGCAAATCCCTGGTAAGAAGAAGCACGGTGGCGTTCGCCCATCGTCGTGGCTGCTGTACGCAGTCAGGCACCTGGGATATGCGCGCACTACGCATAGAACAAACGGAAATTAACGAGTTGTAGGAGTTGGTGGAAGGACAAGTTGGTAAGCTTTCCCCAGCACCCCATGCAGACGTTTCACTGGATTCATATTTGAAAACAATCGACAAACAGAAGGTCCTGAAGTCAAACATCGGTCTTCTTGCGTAGTGCCGGAGCCCATCAAACATGAAGCCCTTCAAGGTCAATGAACCCAAGAGTGAATTGGAACACACATGTTGCACATAACCCGAACAGTTAGGTTTACGATCCCGCCGAACTCCACGTTCAGGGACGCAAAAGGCATTCTTCATTTCAAGACTCAGGTGTGGGACACGAAAGCGGAGATAGACATTGCCAAAATCATAATCGCAGGATTGAAGGGTGAAGTACAATTTGACAGGGTCCTTCAAAAAGTCAGTGCCACATCGAAGGTAGCCACAGACACGTTCCAAGAGTTGGACTTGAACCTCCCGCCGGACATGTTCGAAGAAAGAGGGTCCATTTCGGAAGACAAAGCAAAATCCCTATACCAAGCGATGTTGGAAAGAGCACGGGGACGCCAACAAGCAGATGCGACAACAAAAACAGAAAGAACAAAGGGACAAGCAAGCTGTGCACATGCGACAAGTCATCAAAGAGGAGGCCGGCGCGACAAAAGGAGACTCTAAGGGAAAAGCCAAATCAAAAAGCAAAGGCAAAGGTAAAGATAAGTACGACGTCGACTACTTCGACTTGCAGAGCCCAGAAGAAGCATCAGTTGAGCGGAAGATCGGGACAAATCGGAACCAGAGATTCTGGGAGAGTTCCAAAGAAAAATAGAACGCCGAATTGTGGAGCGCAGCGCGCGCATTCGCAGAAGTTCCCCAAGGACTTTTCGAGGGCTTGAGGAGCCCAAGTAACGCGTGGGCGCTCAATTAAACTGTTGAGGGCGGGCAGAAAAGCTGGTGTACACGAGCATTGGGAGCGGGTGCGCGGCTTGCACGGGGGGCGCAGTAGGTTTGCGTTTCAGGAGCTTGGGCGCTGGTCGATGCGTTGATGGGGGGCCCGAGAGTGCGTCACACATATTACGCCTGTGGCGCCATGGAGGCCGCATGTGCGGTTGCAGTGGGGCGGGCGCCCCGCCGCGCGCACCGTCGCGACAGCTCTCTTGGGCGCCCGCCCGCCGCCGTGGACGTAGTGGGCCCAGCTAGTCTCGCGGTCGGCGCGCGGCGGGTCGGCAGCCACGACGCTGGCGGCCTGAAAATGTTTTGAAAGTGTTTCTCCCCGAGCCCGGGGCTATTGTACGTTTTCGGTGGCACGCGCAGCTCGGAAAAGAATCGCCTTGTCCGTCGGCGGCCAGTTGGCTGTCGTCGCGCAGAAGTACCGGCGGATGGCGCGGTCCACGCTCAGCGCAGAGAGCGTGTCCATGGGCGTGGGCTCGTCGAGGGGCAGGAGGAAGGACCTCGTGGTTGGGACCATCGCGGCCTGCGATGTCCACGGCCCCCACCCTCGGCGCGTGAAGACCTGCTGGGCGCCGCCGCAGGCCGATTTCAGAGAATCTCGGAACGGGAAATCCGGGCGCGCCAAATTTCGCGGGCCGAAAAACTCTCAGAGAATTTTGGCCAGCTCCGAGGTTTTGGGTCTATGGGAATGTTTCACGCGGGGTGTCGAGTTCAGAGATTTTCAGAGATTCTCAGAGAAGTTCGGACGCGAGAATTTGGCGCGCCCCGTTTTCTGGTTCTGTGAATCTTTGAAAAGCGGTTCCTCAGGTTTTACCGGATCTCCAGGCGTCCCACTGTCAGCCAGAGATGAGCGACTGGCTGGCGCCGCGCCCGATGCTTCCGGAGTCGCGGACTCGGTCCTCGATTCCCTGGGGCCCGCGGGCCCCTGGGCCAATCGCGAGGTTGCCGAAGCCCCCGGGCGTTTGCGCGCGATTGTCTCCGAGACCGGAGTTGGGCATCCATGTGGACGCCCGCGCGTGCGCGCTAGGTGTCCGCGAGATTATTCGGTGGCGGATATTGCATAGTGCGGGGGCCTTCCAAAGACTTTCCGGGGTTTTCTCTACGGTTATTTCGGCGCGCTTCGGGGACCTTGGGGCGGCGCGGGGAAGTCGCCAGGCCGCGCGCGGGCTCCTTTTCCAATGCCTTCTTGGGCATTCTCGCGGTGTTGCGTGGCCGTAGAGGCCACTGAGTGCTGCGTTTTTTGACATTTACACGTGTTTTTCGTTGCGTTGGTTGCGTGATTGTTTTGGCGGTCCGCCTCTTTGGGGCCCCCTTGGGGCCTCAAGTTTGTTTTGTTGACGTCGGGTCTTCTGGAGTGAAAGGCGCTTGGCGCTGAATTCCCTCGGGCGCGTGCGTGGCCAAATACGCGCCGTGGCCTCATCCGCGCCGGTGCGCATTCCTTCCCTCGCGAAGCCGATGGTGCCCAAGGCGTGGCAGGCCCGTTCGGTGGCGCCCCCAGTGATTTGAAAAACCGAGCATGATTTTTATCCCAGTCAAACTTTGCCCCGATCCCGGCTTCGTCTTAAAGCAGTCAAAGCAAGAAAGTTGACAAAACGACGATCTGCAGCAAGAAAGGTCAGGTCGGGAAACGGCTCGGCCCCTGGTGGAGGCCAGGGGAAAGGGAAAGGAGACAAAAACACGGAGAAAGGCAAAGGCAATAACAAAAGTTAGAAACACGACCAAGGCAAGACAGGAGGAACGAAAGGACCTAAAGGTGGAGAGAAGGGAAAAGGAGCCTAGAAGGAAGGCAAGGGAGATCCGAAGGCCAAGTCCAAAGCGCGTTCTGGCGGCTATGCCAGGGCATGGACATGGTGGAATTGAACAAGTTGTTGTAGCCAGAGCTGCTGTCGCAACACTTGTACATATACAGTGGGTATCAAGCAGTGGAGCACCCTGCCCTGGGCAAGCTCCCTTGGCCAGTGCTCCTTCTCCTATGGGGCTACCGCCGAAAGCACGTATTCCATTCAGGGCATTTGCCGACCTTGTCAAAATATACTCTCCACTCGTTCAAATTAGATATCAGATTGCGACCTAGTTTAGCCGAGATCTATTTTTACCGAGTCTAGTTTTACCGAGCCGGGACTCGAATACTAAACACAACGTTCTGTATGTCTGGGGTCAGACCCGGGTCAGTCCGGGGTCACTCCAGGGTCAGTCCGAAGTCGGTCCGGGGTCAGTTAGGGGTAGGTCGGTCCGGGGTCAGTCCAGGGTCGGTCCAGGGTCAGTCTGGGGTCAGTCCGGCTGGGGTCAGTCCGGGGTCCGTCCGGGGTCCGTCCGGGGTCCGTCTGGGGTCCGTCCGGGGTCCGTCCGGGGTCCGTCCGGGGTCAGTCCGGGGTCAATCCGGGGTCAGTCTGGGGTCAGTCCAGGGTCAGTGCGGGGTCAGTCCGGGGTCAGTCCGGGGTCAGTCCGGGGTCAGTCCGGGGTCAGTCCGGGGTCAGTCCGGGGTCAGTCCGGGGTCAGTCCGGGGTCAGTCCGGGGTCAGTCCGGGGTCAGTCCGGGGTCAGTCCGGGGTCAGTCCGGGGTCAGTCCGGGGTCAGTCCGGGGTCAGTCCGGGGTCAGTCCGGGGTCAGTCCGGGGTCAGTCTGGGGTCAGTCCGGGGTCAGTCCGGGGTCAGTCCGGGGTCCGTCCGGGGTCTGGGGTCAGTCCGGGGTCAGTCCGGGGTCAGTCCGGGGTCCGTCTGGGGTCAGTCCGGGGTCAGTCCGGGGTCAGTCCGGGGTCAGTCCGGGGTCAGTCCGGGGTCAGTCCGGGGTCAGTCTGGGGTCAGTCTGGGGGTCTGGGGTCAGTCTGGGGTCAGTCCGGGGTCAGTCCGGGGTCAGTCCGGGGTCAGTCCGGGGTCAGTCCGGGGTCAGTCGGGGGTCAGTCCGGGGCCAGTCTGGGCTCCGTGCGGGGTCCGTCAGTCTGGGGTCAGTCCGGGGTTGGTCCAGGGTCGGATCCGGGGTTTGCCTGAGGTCTGTCCAGGGTCTGTCCGGGGTCAGTCTGGGGCCAGCCTGGGTCAGTCCCGGAGTGACCTGCAGGCTTGACCGTGCAGACCGACCCTTGAATGACCCGTGTGTATATGGAGCCTGGTCGGATCGAATTCAGCGCAGCCGAGCCGACCGCCACCTTAGGTGCACGCGTATGTGGGAGCGCCCGAATGGAAAGGAGAGCGGAGAGTATTTTAATGCATGGGAAATGAAAATGCAAGCGGGCCGATCTAGTTTTCGGAATTGCAGAAGTCGGGGACCGAAACTTCCGATCTAGTTTAGCCGAGACCTAGTTTCACCGATTCTATTTGTAACGAGCGGAGTGTAATGCTGCTGTCAGCGACGTTTACAACAGCATACAATGGAGATCCGTTTTAGGGGCACAGCCCCATATGCATCACTAGTGGTTCTCACGAGTTGGTCGCTACCCTGTCAGCCCCTGCACGCAGGTGCCACGCGCAGAGATCAATGCTTTCTGAAACGATTTATCTCGTAGCGTGTCTCAAGGATTGGCCCGTGTTACGTCATCACAGAGGGGCAAACGAACATGGTGGGGCAATGTGAATGCTGCCTTGCCGTGGGCGGCAACCTGGTTGTCCCAATCTTCGTACATCACCGCTCCAACAGACAAAGATGGAGGCCTAGTCTTGATACGACACGTGGACATGCGAGAGCTACTCAAATAAGGTTCGACAGCGACCGCTACGTGGACGACAGTTGCCAACACATCAATATTATCATGCGGGCATGCATTTAGATATGCTCCAAGGTCGCCGACACGCTTGGCGATGAGGATTGAAGGCGTTCTTGCGACAATGTTTGGCCAAATGCAGTGGAGGCAGCTTGGTGTCCAACCTGCTGTGCGCTGTTAAGACACACGAACCGGTTGGCCAAATTTCTGCACGCCTCATCCACTCCTCCTCTTTGCGCCCTTTTCCTGGCCTGAGCAGCGTATTCAAGACAATGTTCGCTGAGCAGCTTGGCACATTGCCATTCCTGATCAGGAACACAGAGGACCCGGTTAAAAAAGTAACCGGCAAACGATATGGCAACCATTTCGGCATCAAGGATTTCTATTAGAATGGCGAGCACCGAGAAAAAGTCGACGTAGTGGGTGCAACATTCATGGAGAACCATCAGGGTGTATCAAAATATGTTTTGGAGTTCATTTTGAACCATCAGTCGGGTCCCTCCCCCACCAGGAAACAAAACCTGGACGTACTGATGATCTGTACGTCCAGAGCAGCCTACTCCCAGAAGGGATCTGGAGAGTTGCTCTGGGCTCAGGCACCGGGCAAAAACATGTTGGTGAGTTGTTCGATTTGTACATGTACCGCCTGGCAGAGCGGCATTGGGCAACACATGCAGCTCAAATATCCCAGCCCGGCATTCTCGATTATTCCAGGTACAGGGGCGTCATATTACTGCTTATTTTCAAACATCAATGGGTACATCAAGTTTATGGCAAAGTTCCGTGAACTGATTGCTGAAGATTATGTCGTTGGGGTGGACAAGACGAATCGGTGGGAAATAAACATGCTCGATGTTACCTTTCTCAAGGGCCCGAGGCCCGAGGTTCAAAACCACGGGCTTCTTGGACGTGAGCCCAATTCTGAAACCGTCAGACCAGAAAGTGCCGCTAAGTTCAGACTCTTCCTATTCTTCTTCGGCGCCCTGGAACTAGCCACGCGCAGAGATCCTAATAATCCGTGGGCGGGCCTCCAGTCCGAATTCTTTTTACAGCGCGAAGCATCCGATGATTGGATGGCTCTCCAGACATGGCGTGGACCCAGCCGTGATTGAGAGAACCGCAGACATCAATTTCGAGAGAGTCCCCCCATATCCCTTGCCAGAGGGCCAGAATACGGCACCACATTTTGGGTAAGATTCCCGTAGCACAGGTTGGTGTACAGCTCTGGGATCAACAGAGTATTGTCCGACAAGCTGGAGAGATGGCGGCCCATCATGTGGGCGCTCCTTGGCGGCAGCGGCTTCACTGTCAGAGTGGCGTGGCTCCAAAGTGGACCAACCATGCTGCCACATGCTACGAGAGGTTGGCAGACGGGGTAGGAAGGTGAGATGTGCTGTTGTTGCTAGCACATGCATTTTTCGATCGACTTGTAAACACAATTTTCGATCAAGTGGTAAACGCATTGCGTCGTCATGGGATATCTGCTGCGCACGCTGTAAACATTGAGGCTCTGTAGCGCTTACAACGCCCTAGGCTCACTGTACTGTACACACAGTGCTGGTCGGTAGTTCCGGCCAGGCATAGCATTGGAGAGCATTGGCAGCCAGGTTGAAAAAGGTAACAGCCCAATTCAGAGAGTTGCAGGGAACTCCCGAGATGGACCCCGCGGTTCAGGTTATTGCGGGGGCAGCCGGAATTGGGAGCGAAGGCCGCTCAAGCGGAGGAGGACGAGGAGAGCGATGGGGGAGTGGAAGGATGAGGGGAGGAAGGGGGATCATATTGTTCTCCAGGGCCCATCCGACATGTGGTAATGCCGCCGCTGATGGAAGGTCTGGGCCGTGCTGAGGATGTGAGAGTCCGTTTGGGCGCTGTATGCGATCGCGCCACGGTGCAGTCGGGGGGGCAGCGAGGTGGGGGCAAATCTTTGCAAAGAAGAAGAAGAAGCACGGTGGCTTTCGCCCATCGTAGTGGTTGCTGTACGCAGTCAGGCACCTAGGACGTCAGCAATATGCGCACACAACTACGCATACCGCGTCTAGTCCCCCCAAACTACAAACCACTATGGCAGTTCATTGGTGTCAGGAGTCTATCTGCGAACTAGTCCCAACCCAAAGCAGCAAAACCAATACGCAACTTTACCCAGGCGCAATGCACGTCGCCAAGTTTGAACGGCTTGGAGGAGCCTCGGCGTTTCCAGGCTTGGCCGCTTCAGCCACTTCTACTCGGTCTTGACTGCCCAGTGCAATGTGAGACTCGGAGGAGGAGGAGGAGGAGGTGGCGGGCCAATCAACTGGTGGAGCTTGTTGATACATCCGGATTGGTGGGATGCTTGCCAGCATAAAGCGTGGGGCCATACAACTAGCTATTCATATCTGGAAGATGCGATGACGTTTAATTTCACAGAGCATGTCCAGGCATTGGCTGCCTAATCGAAGCTTCAGATTTGCCAGGGGGGCAGAC